ATATTAATGTATTAAATAAACTTAATGAGTACAATAAAAACTTAATTATCATAGGTGACCTAAATAGTAAACCTCAGAATTTTGGTTGACATATAACTACTACAAATGGAAGAAAACTGTTGGAATTATTTTCTATAATACAAGTGATGTGCTGGATTTATTCATCAAATGTTAACAATAAGTGTATATGTTTTAATGTTGGATTTGATCTAGATAGTGATCACTTTCCAATTACATATGTCTTCGATCTCGAACCCCATTATAATAAACGAATATGAAAACAAAGTTTTAATGACAATAAAACAAACTGAGAACAACCTTCCTAGGTTAATTATTACCAGAATCAACAATAAATCTAGCAGGAAATTCATCTGATGTTGAAGACTACTGTCAAACAATTACCGAATGTCTTACTAAAGCTTGCAGAACAAACAATATCGAAACCGAAACCAGATGGCAATCTTATACATAAATTATTAATATTATAAAAGAACGCCGCCAACAGAGAAGACCATTTATGAACACAAGAGACCCGCATATCAAAATTCAAATTAACACTCTAAGAAACAAGAAGACAATTGAAATAAAACAACTCAAACAAGACTCATGGGATAAGTTCTGCTCCAAACTAAACAATCACACAGAACCGAAAACGTTTTGGTCACAACTAAAACGATTTATAAGTAATCAAAACACTACTAAATTATACCCGACTTTAAATCACGAAAACAAAGCAGCCTATACAAAGGAACAAAACGCCGTTAGTTTTAAATAACAATTGAGAAAAACCTTTAAAACACATAATGACCCAGACGTGGACACCCACTATTTTAATACAGTAAACGAGTATATTGAACAAACAAATCCACAAAATTCAAACACCAATGATCATATAAGTAAACTAACAGAGACAATAACAAAAATAGAAGTTATCATATCTATAAAACAAAAATAAAGCACCAGGTGAGGATTATATGTATACAAGCCATTCTTCTTAAAAAGGGTTCTCAGAAATTCTTTGACCATTACTCGATTTATCCATAAACTCTGGTTTCAGAAAATTTCGGCAAACAACAGATAATCTAGTTAGATCAACTGAAACCATAATAGTTGATAGTTTGAACCAAAAGAAATGCACTGTATCCTGCTATCTCGATATAAGGAATACCTTCGACACTGTATGGCATAACTGTCTGAGATCTAAAATTGTTACATCTCTGCTCGTTTGTTAATTTCAGGTATGAATTCTTTCCGAGGAACTTCAGTGATACAAGTCCTTACTTGATTAACCCAGTATATTCTTCCTCGATACAAACTTTTAATGCCCAGAATTTCCAATCAGTACATTAAACTTAACTACTTTTATAACACACGCTATAAATCACAGTGATTCACACACTTTACTTACGGTGCCTACTGTTCGCTTGACACAATTATCTATCTCTTCAATCTATCTATCTATGTCTCCGATCTATCTGCCTCTTCAATCGCGCTGGTTTTTCTCGCCAGGCTTATATACTAAAAAGGAGGGCGACTCGAACAAACTCGGGCCTCCCTGATAATTCATGATCCAGCGGGCATGCTCTCAGCTGTCGTAACAGAACGTTTAATTGAAAGGTAA